GGCCACTGCGGGTGAAGCCGGCTCCGGCCTTGTACCCCCGCCCCAGGGGCCGGAGGACGTCCGAAGGGGAAGGAGGCCCCTCTCATCTGCGAGTCCTGTCGCGAGACCCACACGCCCGAGCGGGGAAAGGCCTTTGGGCCTGTGCTTCGGCCGTTCCTGAGAAAGGGGCACGGTCCCCCTCCGTCTCCAGACGTTCCCCTATTTCTTCCCGGCTGGTTGGGGTGTACAAGTTATCCGCCCCCCCCCTCCAAACCCGATCCCCCCAATTGGCGAAAGCTGGCTTTTCAGAAGCAAAACGGGAAGTAGCGAGCAGAAGAATCCCTTACCCGGCTTGGTTTGCCATGTGAGGAAAGGGGGTGCAAACGATCCCTTTCGCCCTGAAACAGCGTGCAGCTGCCATTGCGCCGTGGTAGCGCGCTCCCTTCCAATTGCCGAAACGCCTTGTGTATTTAGGATGCTGCGACCTTCTAGAGTAGGATTTCTTAATGATCTGGGAACTCCTTGACATTTTTTGGAGAATGTGGAGGTCTCTCTGGGTAAAGGGCCAGTGTTTGGTGCTACGGGGGTAGTTTGGGGAGCTTTGCTTTAGTCTTTCGTCAGGGCGCCCCAACCTGCCACCAGGCCGGCCCGTCACCCTCTCACCCCGGCAGGTTGCTGCCCCTGAGACCGTCCTGCTGCTGGTGGGGCTCATGGCTGTGATCCGTTTCCTAAGGTGCTCTTGACGCCCTAAAACTGGAACTGCCGGGGCAGAACAGTTTCAGAAGGCGCTCTGATGACCTTGGTGTTGGTGTTGATGAGATTTAACTGTAGAGGAACTTTCCTTTCTGATGGGTATCCATTGCATTTTTAAGAATTATCACGATTCTGTGGCCAACATAGCTTTTGAGGTGGCGTATGGACATGACCAAGATTTATGGTATATACTTCCTTATAAATGTGAAAAGCTTTCATCTTACTTTTGATTTTTGCTTCTAAACCAGACTCCAGCTTAGAGCACATTTTACAGTGATTTTGAGACATTGATCCTTGGGAGAAGACGAAATTTCTTCTTCCCCCTCCCCCGGTTTTTCTTTCACTTTATGAAGATGAAATTGCTTGACATGTATCAGTTTTTGTTGAGAGGTTAACACTTTTTTTTAGGGTAGTTGCACCAGCACATCATTTTTCATGTCAAATAGAAAGAACTGGGCGAAATTTAGCATTAGCCCGTCTTTTATTTGGCAAAGGGGACTAGAAACATTCAACACGCGGTAGTATCCAAGAGTCCACAGGCAGCAAATTCATTTTTATGTGGAGAGGAATATGTTTTTTATCATCGTTAGTTGGTGACTTCATCACTCGATAATGTATTTGTAGTGCTACATTAGATCAGCTATACAAAATAATGACCCAAACTGCAGCATAATTTTACAACTAGAATTTTAACATAGTTAAGATCAATATTCTTGAGGAATAATGAGGCCATAAGAATGTAGAAAAGGTTAGCTTTCGTTAAAGCTACGACTGATTAATTTTCCAAATTGTCTTGTAAAATGCTAAGTAAACAGGAAATGAAAGGGTATGAGAGTCATGTGGAGAATAAGATTAGGAAAAAAGTTGACAAGGCAAAACATTTTAGAAGTATGTATGCATGCGCGTATGTGTCACGTTTAAAATATAGCAAATGGTTCTTTTGGTATTTTGAGCAAAGCTGATTTTTAACATTTTCTTTCATAACACTCAGAAATCATTAACAATTGTTTGCATATTCATTTGATATGAGTTTTTTTGGGTTTGTTTCTTTTTGTTGCTTTCTTTTAACATTGGTCATGTTTCACCCTTTTTTTTCATTCCCCCTGTCTGCAATCAACTTCTTCATTCCACTAAGGCTGGGCACAGAGTAAGTTTCTTCTCTTAGCTCCTCCTAATAATGGTGGTTGGGTGTCTGATTACTGGGATTTTCACCCTCTTATAGGCTATCAAATAGGAAATAGCCAAATTCCTATGCTTTGATTGGGTTGGTTCTTTATTTGAATTTAACAAGACTGCCATTTCCAGGATCTTTTGCTGTCTTAAAAGACTATAATCTATGTCTAACCTGAACTGTCAAAGTGTGGGATTTGGGCAAGGACATTCCTCAAAGTCTGATATTTGTTATGTGACACTATTTCCCTTATAACTTTGTCACTTGCAGGAAACCAGAGTCCTAGTTAGGACCCTTACTAATTTTAAATAATTTCTGTGTGGTCATTCATACAGTTATAACTTTAGAATGCTGATGTCTGGGCACACGGGCATAATCCACAGTACATTATAGAGTTTAGGTTATCAATCATTATAAAGTATCATTTCTTACTAATGTTCTTTTTAGTTCATTCAGATGGAACAACTCATTCACTATTAGTCCCAAACATTTAAAAAAATATATATGTTTATATTTTTAAAATATATATTGTTATTGGTCTCAGAGAGGTAGGAAGAGGGAGAAAGAGATAGTAACATCAGAGGTGGGAGGGAATCATTGATTGGCTGTCTCTCGCTCGCCCCCAACTGGGGATCAAGCCCACACCCGAGCAAGTGCCCTTGACTGGGACTGGAATCAAACGGGACCCTTCAGTCACCAGGCCGTTGCTCTATCCACAGAGCCAAACCAGCTAGGGCAGTCCCAAACATTTTCAACCTGTTACAGACATGTACCCTTTTATGAGTTTGAGATTATTCTTTTTTTTTAAAATAAGGATATCTTTACCTTTTTTTCAAATGCCAGCTTCCCACATTAACTATGCACCTCAATACGTATCTGAAGGGATCGCCCTCTAAAGATGAAGATTGTTGTTATATCTCTAGGTACTTTTGTATTCATTACCAATGAAGGTCAAAACTTCATGGTGGTTTTAGTTTTACAGATGTTTTACCCATCTGGATTGAAACAATATAAGTCCTTGAGCAAATACCAGCTGAATCCAGTCTTTATAAAGAAACTTATTTAACAACTTCTTTTAAAATGCTCTAATTTTACTTCAGTTACTCTACATCCTGAATAGTTCCTTTCCTTTGTAATCATTTTGATATTTGTTGCAAGATGAATCAAGCTTGTTTTAATAATTTTAATTTTGCACATTTTGTTTTTGATTAATTTCAATTTACAAAGTCAGTGGTGATGAAACTTTTGTTTTATCTTATTTTAGATATTTAATGTTTTCTTTGATAATAAGAAATAGTCATACCTTTTTAAAAAGCAGTTAAAGGGCATGTACATTTATGGATGGGACATCTGTGTGGGAAAACATGCTGTTATAGAATGAAGGTGCTTATACTAATCAACATGAAATTGTTGTCCTTTGGAGGGCAGATATTTTTAAACTAGAGGCACCGGTGGGGTTCCTGTGCCTGGCCTGCAGGGATTGGGCGGAAACCGGCTCTCTGACATCCCCCAGGGGTCCCAGATTGTAAGAGGGCGCAGGCCAGGCCAAGGGACCCCACCAGTGCATGATCGGGACCTGGGGAGGGACCACGGGAGGGCTCCAGGGCATATCAGGTCTGCTTGCCCAGTCCTGATGGGCCGGACCCCAGCAGCAAGCTAACCTACCAGTCAGAGCGGCTGTCTCCTGGTGGTCAGTGCACGTCATAGCGACTGGTTGAATGGTAGAATGAATGTTGGACATTGAACATATTAGGCCTTTATTATATAGGATAGGATGACCTTTTTAAATATATTCTTCTGTTAAGTGACTTAGTTAAATAATATTTACATGTAAAATCATTAATATATTACAGGATTGAGATTTTTATTTTTTATATTAAAGTGTAAAACTTTTTGTTGCAACTCTAAACCACTTCCTACTAAATTCATCACTTATTTAACTGACTCTTTTTTTAATGCTCTAATGCACATGAGAGATTGTGAAAAATGTTATTTCAAGTTTGGAAACTAAACTGAGGACACATAGGCAATTTAATCTAGACAATTAATATAAGACAGTGAGGACTTCTAATGAAAGAGAAGATAAAGATGATTATCTCTAGGTACTTTTGTATTGAAAAGTACACATTTGTCCTATTGAAACTTTGTGAAACATAGGCTGTTTTTATTCCTCTGTAATGTGTAGCTAATAGTTTTAAGTAGCAAATATTGTAAATTTTGGCTATTATTCCTCCAAATAGTTGTCAGGCTAGTAAACATAAATTATAGAATTAATTTTTTTGTCATTACTTTTTTTTTTAATCCTCACCCTGGGATATGTTTGGAGAAAGTAAAGGAGGGAGGGAGGGAAGGAGGGAAAAACATCAATGTGAGAGAGAAACATCCATGTGAGAGAGACATTGATCGGTTGCCTCCAACCTGGGATCAAACTGGCAACCTAGGTATGTGTCCTGACTGGGAATCAAACCTACAACCTTCTGGTGTACTGAATGACACTCCAACTAAATGAGCCACCTGGCCAGGGCTCTCTCATTTCATTTTTAACAGTTCTCTTTATTTTTATTATTTTTTTAATATATTTTATTGATTTTTTACAGAGAGGAAGGGAGAGAGATGGAGAGAGATAGAGTTAGAAACATGGATGAGAGAGAAACATCCATGTGAGAGAGACATTGATCGGTTGCCTCCAACCTGGGATCAAACTGGCAACCTAGGTATGTGTCCTGACTGGGAATCAAACCTACAACCGTCTGGTGTACTG